GGCTGCTGGGCACCTGGGGGAGGAAAGAGCAGGGCAGAGGGGAGAAGAGAGCTGTTGGGGTAGCTGAGCCGCACTTGGGGTTTTTGCCAGGCTGGCTGAGAGCTGGCGAAGGGGAGGCGGGACTCCACAAAGAGGGCACGGAGGGCACCTGCTCACCTCCCACCCTGCCTGCCTGCCTGCCAGCCAGCCAGCCAGCCAGACCAGCTCGCTCAGAGGTGTGGGTGGGCCCGGAGGGGGTGACGCAGCAGGTTGGGCGGGAGGGGGCCGTTTCTCCTGCCAGCCAAACTGCTTTTGGGAGGGGGGGGGCGGGGGAGGGCTCCCAGCTTGGAATCCGGGTGGCTGAGGGAGTGGGGGTTGGGGAGCCTGCCTCAGAGCAGAGCGGTCTAATCAGCCTCCTCTGCAGGAAACGGGTGCTGAGTGTGAGGGGGACTTGGGCTGTCAGCCCCCCTGTGCGCCCCCCCTAATCCCCTTAACACCTGTGCAGAAAAAGGCGCATCAGTGAAACAAATTGGCCATAGGCACAGGAAAGGCGGTAGTAGCTAGGAGGATACTGAAGAGGCTGTTGGTGAGCTGCCCTCTCGCCCAGAGGACAAGCCACTGTGGGGGGGCAGGGGGGGGAGGTTGCTAGCTCTAACAGCCACAGGTGTGTGGTTTGGCCCTCAGGCCCCCTGGTCAGTTTCCACAGGATGCAGAACACCTCTTCCGGGGCAGTAGGGCTCATGACCTGGAGCGAAGACTTTTTGAGTCTCGTTGCACAGTGGAATGTAGAGGCCCGCCTCGAGCCCTCTCTGGTTTTTGTTGTGTTCTTTCATACTCTTCCATGCAAGGCTGGCTGTATAGAAGTGAGCCGCAGAAGCACTCAGGGGCCCTGGCCTCGTGGAAGTCACTCAGGTCCTAGTGGATGTCTGCCCATATACGTATTCAGTAGTGGTGCAGGGAGGCTAATTTGGAACACCTTTTTCCAGCTTCTCACTGGCCTCGTCTTCTCTTCCAGATTGTCTATGCAGAGGTGCCTCTAACCGACAACCACAGATCGTTGGCTTCCTATGGCTTGAAAGATGGGGACGTGGTGGTATTGCAGCAAATGGAGAATGCAGAGAGGCGGGCTCCATTCCCTGGTGAGAGAGCAATTCTGCCAGAACCCCCACGGCCTCCCCAGTGTCGGTGTTGCACACAACGGTCAGGTCCAGTGTTCCCTCTAAGCTGAGTTAGTGTGAGCTAGCTCAGTTTTCTAGCCTCTGGCTCACACGTCTCTGTTTTAGCTCAGGAAGGATGGCTCCAGAGCAAACTAATTTGTGCAGTAGCCAAATAGTTCGCTCACAACTTTAATGCCAGGAGCTCACAAAATGGAATTTTTGCTCACAAGACTCCACAGCATAGAGGGACCATTGGTCAGATCATGATGTAGCTTCTTGATTCTCTGGTTTAACTTTGCCGCTTCATCAGGAGCTGCTTTGGAAAAGTTTTGGTAAAAGTATTGCCGGCTGTTTGCTAAATTTGGGGGTGGGCCTGAGCTGCTCTCCCCCAGGGTCCCTGCTCTGCGGGACCACCCACTGTCCTTGGAACCTGTACCCCCGCCCCCCCCCCGGGGCCCCGTGCAGGCCCATTCTGTGGGGATCGGATGCAGACTCTGGCGTAACAGGGGAAGGGCCAGTTACCTGAGGGGTGTGTGTTACTTCGTTGGTGTTGGGGGCAGGGAGGTGCCCTTGTCTGACATGCCGGTGGGAGGCACTATCTGCACGCCCTTAGGGGAAGCATTTGGGATTGTTGGGGCCCCAAGTTCAGCATCTTTTGCCTAAGGAGCTGGGTGCGGTCCAGTTTCTCAGGAGCTGAGTGGCCCAGCATTGGCAAAATAGAGCAGTGAGGCCGGGAGGCATCCTCTGAGAACGGAGCGAGCGGCTTCCACGTGGGTGTACCTTGCAGGTAACAGAGGTGATTCCTTGCAGGGTCTTCTGAAGCACGTCGTAGTCTGGGAGTTTCTAGAGGATGCTGATGGATTTCTCCTTGTCCCCAGGCTTGCCCAGGATAGACTTCAGCAGCATCACAGTGCCGGGGACGTCGGCACAAGCAGCCCAGCCACTGCCACAGCAGCCTGCACCACCCCCTCGCACGTCTCCTCCTGAAGTCCCCCCCGCCCCCCAGGGCTTGGACAACCCGGCTCTCTTGCGGGACATGCTGCTCGCCAACCCGCATGAGCTCTCCCTGCTGAAGGAGCGCAACCCACCCCTGGCAGAAGCCCTGCTGAGCGGAGACCTTGGTGAGTAGCTTGTGGGCACTTCCGTTTCTGGCTGGGGTGACGTCCGGGCGACTGAATTGTCCCTCTCGGAAGGGTTGTTCACCACGGCTCCCAGGCTCACAAACACACACAATACCAGATTGGTCATGGTTATGGCATTAACTTTTAAAGCCCTGAGTGGTCTGGGAACATAAGAGACGCCAATGTTGGATCAGGCCAAAGGCCCATCCAGTCCAACACTCTGTGTTACACAGTGGCCAGAAATACCAGTGCCATCAGGAGGTCCAGCAGTGGGGCCAGGACATTAGAAGCCCTCCCACTGTTGACCCCCCCCCAAGCACCAAGAAGACAGAGCATCACTTGCCCCAGAGCCCCTAGCTATACCTTGTGGCTAATAGCCACTGATGGACCTCTGCTCCATATGCTTATCTAATTCCCTTTTGAAGCCGTCCATGCTTGTAGCACCCACCACTTCCTGTGGCAGTGAATTCCAAGTGTTAATCACTCTTTGGGTGAAGAAGTACTTCCTTTTATCCGTTCTAACACGTCTTTTCTCCAAGCTAAAGAGCCCTAAGCGCTTTAACCTTTCCTCATAGGGAAAGTGTTCCAACCCTTTTATCATTCGAGTTGCCCTTTTCTGCACTTTTTCCAAAGCTATAATATCCTTTTTAAGGTGTGGTGCCCAGAACTGCACACAGTATTCCAAATGAGGTCTCACCATTGATTTATATAGGGGCATTATTATATTGGCTGATCTGTTTTCAATACCCTTCCTAATAATCCCCAGCATAGCATTGGCCTTCTTTATTGCAGTCACACACTGTCTCGACATTTTCAGTGAGTTATCTACTACAACTCCAAGATCTCTCTCTTGATCTGTCTCTGCCAGTTCAGACCCCATCAATGTGTATTTATATTTAGGATTTTTGGCTCCAATGTGCATCACCTTGCACTTGGCCACATTGAACCCCATTTGCCATGTTGACGCCCACTCGCCCATCCTTGACAGATCCCCTTGGAGTGCCTCACAATCCTCACTGGTTTTCACCACCTTGAACAACTTTGTATCATCCGCAAATTTAGCCACTTCACTGCTTACTCCCATCTCCAAATCATTAATGAACAAGTTAAAAAGCAGTGGACCAAGTACTGATCCCTGTGGTACCCCACTGCTTACCCCCCTCCACTGGGAGAACTGCCCATTTATACTCACTCTCTGTTTTCTATTAATTAGCCAGTTTTTGATCCATAAAAGGACTTGTCCTTTTATCCCATGATTTTTGAGCTTGCTTAGGAGCCTTTGATGAGGAACTTTATCAAAAGCTTTCTGGAAGTCAAGGTAAATAATATCTATTGGATCCCCCTTGTCCACATGTTTGTTCACCCCCTCAAAGAACACTAACAGGTTAGTGAGACAAGATCTTCCCTTACAGAAACCGTGCTGAGTCTGCCTCAATAGGTTTTGTTCATCTATGTGCCTACTAATTCTTTCCTTAATAATGGTTTCCACCAATTTACCCGGTATCGACGTCAGACTGACTGGCCTGGGACCCTGGGCGGACTAGAAATCCAATGAATAACTACCAAAAAAAATATAAAAGAATTCCGTGTTCCAATTTGATGCATCTGAGGGGCAGCATCGCGAGATAGAAAGGAATGTTCTAGCCGGGCAGCTGGGCCGTTTTGGCCTGGGTCTCCTCCCGCCTGACCCTTTTTGGAAAGCCTTTGCATAGGCGATCCTGGTGGCAGTTGACGGCGCCTCGACCTCTGGGCCACAACTGCGGATGTCCTTCTGTGCCAAAGAAGGCGTTGCCTCCAACCTGCCCGTATCTTTGTGTCTTCAGAGAAGTTCTCCCAGGTGCTGGTGGAGCAGCAGCAGGACCGAGCGCGCCGGGAGCAGGAGCGGATCCGCCTCTTCTCTGCCGACCCTTTTGATCTGGAGGCTCAGGCAAAGATTGAAGAGGACATCCGGTAACCGGGCCGGGGCGCGAGCCCTTGACGCCCCGTTGTTGTTATTGGGGGCCCTGGGTGCTGGGGAGCCGCATTGGAACCTCGAGGTGGACGAGGGCAGCTTCAGCTCCTGTCAGCTGGGCCTGCAGTCGCTGGGTGGTCTCTGCACAGCCCGGGGCTGCCTGGCGAAGGGTGGCCACTCAGTCCCCGGGGCGGGTGGGTGGGGCTGGTTCCCCAGAGAGGAGAAGAGGGTGCAGAGAAGGAGGCCCCTTCAGCACCCTGAGCCCCCCTCCCCGCTCTCCTGTTCTGCGGCGGTTTTGTCCCTCCGGCGCGGAGAGAGGGGCAGGCTGCCTTGCCGGGGAGCCCGGCCGAGGGTCTCTGTGGCCCTGAGCCTCGTCTTGGCCTTGGGTCCAGGCAGCAGAACATTGAGGAGAACATGACGATCGCCATGGAGGAGGCCCCCGAGAGCTTCGGCCAGGTGGTGATGCTGTACATCAACTGCAAGGTCAACGGCCACCCCGTGAAGGCCTTCGTGGACTCGGGTGAGTCCGCCTCGCCCTCTGGCTCCGGCACAGCACGGGGGGGGGGGGGGGGGGGGGGGGTCCTGCCCCTGGGCCCTCCTGGAGCCGCAGAGCCAGCCTACCTGCCTGCTTCTGGCCTGAAGGAGGTCCTGGGTTCAGGTCCCCGTGTCACTAATGCAGCAGGCTTTGGAAGGCCTCTTGCTTCAGAGGCAGTAGGCAGGACTGGTGGAGGCCAGCCAAGAGGCCTGGCTTGGGAAAAATCCGGCTCGCCTGCATGTACCCACCAAACCCCTCCACTGGAATATCTGGGAAATGTAGCCTTTTCCAGTCCAGTGATTGAAAAGTGTGCGGGGAAAGCTGCAACCATTGCCTGTATCTTTGTGTGTTTGGGGGGCGGGGGGAGGCTTGTACTCCAACGTGCTCGTTTTGCTTATACGAAAACCCCCGTAGCGGGGAGAGGAATAGCAAGTGTCTCTCGGGTGGTTTTTGTCTTCCTGACAATGCCGGCTATGTCTCCGGCAGGGGCCCAGATGACCATCATGAGCCAAGCGTGTGCTGATAGGTGCAACATCATGCGACTCGTGGACCGGCGGTGGGCAGGCATTGCCAAGGGTGTGGGCACTCAGAAGATCATTGGCAGAGTGCACCTCGGTAAGCGGGCAGGGGAGGGAGGCCCATGTGGTTCCGCGGCTGGCGTATTCTGGAAGGTGACGGGCCTGCCGGCTGCTCTCCGTCTGCTCCAGCTCAGGTTCAGATCGAAGGGGACTTCCTGCCGTGTTCCTTCTCCATCCTGGAGGAGCAGCCCATGGACATGCTGCTGGGACTGGACATGCTGAAGAGGCACCAGGTGAGGGTCGGGCTCATCCCGAGAGCCGGGCTGGACGGTGGCCTGTTGACCCAACGTTTCTCAGGGAGGCTGGAGACCATCCGGGGCCCACTTCGGCTCTTCTCCTGCCCCCAGCTCACGCGTGAGACCCATTAATGTCTCACCTGTCTCTAGATTACGCCGTTGCGTGACACACACACCCCCCCCGGGGACGTGCGGGCTGCCAAGGCAGGCTTGCTGGGATAGGAGGAAGAAGTGGGTGGCAGGGTGTGTGTGTGCTCTCTCAGGAAGTCGTGCCTGGAGCTATACCTTGCGTTCTCTCTCTCTCTCTCTCTCTCTCTCTCCCCCCAGCTCCCCCCCCCCCAATTTGTGTTCTGTGTCCCCATCAGCAGGCAGTGACCATGGTTTCTCCAGTGAGGGAGGCTAGGTTCCTTCTCTGCATGAAGCATTTCCCTTTGAAAAGGCCCGTAGCTCTCTTCGCAAGGGGAGAACACTCATCGTTGGTCTCAGTTGACAGCGATGCGGCTTTTCCTCTGCTGTAAACTTTGGTTTCTCAGATGTTTGGCCGAGACAACCTTGTTGTCTACCGGAATTAGAGCCATTTGCACCAGGCTGCGGTGTGTGGGTGTGTGTGCACGCACGCAGGGTGCTCGTTCCAGGTGCGTTTGAAGCAGTCGATGGGCCGCCTTTTGGCTCAATCCCACAGGTAACTGCAGTTGAGGCACCCGTGGTGGCGCTTTGCTCGTGACAGCTCCTTAGCCCGCAGTGCCAGGTTCCTTGCTGCTTCTTCCCCAGTGCCCAGCGAGGTTTTCAGAGGCAGGCCTTGGGGACTGGCTGCCCTCCTATTTCCAAGGAAAGAGGGTCGGTGGGGGCTGTGGGCATTTAGGCTCTGCTTTGTGGGTGTGGGGTTCCATTCCCCTTCGGGCCTGAGATCAACGGTCGCCCGGAGCTCCCTCTGCCAAGCAGAGAGGGAGCTTTTCTCCAAAGAGTCCAGGGCCCTGCGGGGGGAGATGACCGTTCAGGATCAGGGACCGACCCGGGCCTTCTCCTGACCGGCAGCTGGGGCAAGCATCCAGCCAACATGCGGACGATACCAAGGGCTGGACTCTGAACTACTCAGCTTTGGGTGTCCAGCGTAGCTGCCAAGCAATTTCTTTTGTAGCGTGAGGAGAGAAGTATTGCCTGTGGCTCTGCCTTCTAGAGTAACCCTTTTGGCTTTGCCGGCACCCACCACCCACTCTCCCAACTGCAGAGAGGCTCAAGAAGGTTTGGGCTCTCCTCCAGCCATGCAGCTCAGTTTCTCCTTCCTTGGTCCGCCTCCCCCAGTGTTCCATCGACCTCAAGAAGAACGTCTTGGTGATCGGCACCACCGGTTCTCAGACGACCTTCCTGCCGGAGGGGGAGCTCCCCGAGTGCGCGAGGCTGGCCTATGGGGCCGGCCGGGAGGATATGAGGCCAGAGGAGATAGCAGACCACGAACTGGCAGAGGCCATCCAGAAGTCCGTCGAGGAAGCAGGTACGCCTTGGGGGCCCGGAGCAGGCAGAGGGTGAGCGGGGCGGGGAGGCATGCCAGGGGGTCACTGTGGCTGAAGGGGGGGAGCCCCCCCCCCCCCCCCCCCCCCGGGCAGAGTCCCAGAAGCGTCTGGTTGCCGCTGTTTCCCGGTGTGGCTCTGCTGCGCGGCTGCACCTGCCGTGTGCTGTATGGAGAGGCAGAAGCACCGGGAGCTTCCAGGGCTCATTGCTTTTGCCTCTTCCAAGTCGCAGCCTCGTCCCTGCTCTGGGGCCTCAGCTGCTGGCTGCCTTGCTAGAATGAGTGTCGGGTTTGTATCCTGCTCAGAGATTGGTGTGCGTCAATCCGATAACAATCCAGTGCAGTAAGTGAGGCAGGAAGGTCCTTTCCCAGAGCCTGCCAGTGATCTGAGTGGGGATTCGAATCCAGGTCTTGCCAGTCCTGTTTAGCCACTGTGCCTTGCTGGCTGGCACCTGTCCAGTTGGAAGCCGTCGGCAGCTAGCTGGTCCGCCCTGTTGACCAAGACAGGTTCGTTCACCTCTGACAAGTCAGCCTGCACAATCCAGGCGAGGGCGTGCCCTGAGCAGCAGGGGCCAGGCACTCCCCAGTGCAGCATATCCCTAAGATCAAATAGACACAATCTCATAAAGATTAAATTCCAGAAGCTGTTGCAAGAAACTCTGATTTTAAACTTCACCCGTCCTCCTCCCTTCAAAAAAATTAGCTACGGCTGGATTCTACCGGGAGCGCCGAGTCAGAGAGCAGGAAGGCAGAGTGAGCGCGAGGGGCCGTGTCCGGGCGTCAGTAGACTCGATCTGCCGCAGGGCCTTCTGTATCCTCGCGTAGCCGGCCAGCTGCCCGAGCTCTCTTGGAGAAGTTGCCCTTCCCTGGGAGCACAAACGCAAAAGGGGAATCATTCCCTTTGTATGGCGGTTCACCATTAAAGTTCCCATTTGAGCAGACCTAGCGGTTCGTCTTGTGCTTTATTTAGGCCTTCCCAGCTGGGCTGTCTCTGGGGATTTGAAGCACAACTCCTTCCTTCCTTCCTTCCTTCCTTCCTTCCTTCCTTCCTTCCTCCGTTCGTCTTGTGCTTTATTTAGGCCTTCCCAGCTGGGCTGTCTCTGGGGATTTGAAGCACAACTCCTTCCTTCCTTCCTTCCTTCCTTCCTTCCTTCCTAGTAAAAGACTTAGTAGTGGAAACTGCAGGTCAGCAGAAGAGTAGCCTCCGTGCCTCCGGATGAGCAAGGGACTGGGGGGAGTGCTAACAGGAGAAACGGCAGGAGTGCTTCCTGGCCAGTCAGGTAGCAGCCCAGGAGGCAACAGGCCGGCTGCCTGGCCACCTTCTGGTCTGCCCATCACTGACTTCTTCGGCAGAAGAGAACTGTGCTTGATTGCAGGAGGAAATAAAATGCAAGTCTGAGGTCAGGCAGGCAAAAAGGGAATATGAGGAGCATATCGCAAAAAACGTAAAAACCAACAATAAAACTTTCTTCAAATACATTAGAAACAGGAAACCAGCCAGGGAGGCAGTGGGGCCCTTGGACGACCAAGGGGTAAAAGGAGTATTGAAGGATGATAGGGAAATGGCTGAGAAGCTAAATGCATTTTTTGCCTCCGTCTTCACTGTGGAAGATGAGAAGTGCTTGCCCACTCCAGAACCACTGATTTCAGGAGGGGTGTTGGAAGACCTGAGTCAGATTGAGGTGATGAGAGAGGAGGTCCTAAAACTGATAGACAACTTAAAAACTGATAAATCACCAGGCCCAGATGGCATACATCCGAGAGTTCTGAAAGAACTCAAATGTGAACTTGTAGATCTCCTGACAAAGATATGTAATCTTTCCTTAAAATCTGCCTCCATTCCTGAGGATTGGAAGGTAGCTAATGTCACTCCCATCTTTAAAAAGGGTTCCAGGGGAGATCCGGGAAATTACAGGCCAGTCAGTCTGACGTCGATACCGGGTAAATTGGTGGAAACCATTATTAAGGAAAGAATTAGTAGGCACATAGATGAACAAAACCTATTGAGGCAGACTCAGCACGGTTTCTGTAAGGGAAGATCTTGTCTCACTAACCTGTTAGTGTTCTTTGAGGGGGTGAACAAACATGTGGACAAGGGGGATCCAATAGATATTATTTACCTTGACTTCCAGAAAGCTTTTGATAAAGTTCCTCATCAAAGGCTCCTAAGTAAGCTCAAAAATCATGGGATAGAAGGACAAGTCCTTTTATGGATCAAAAACTGGCTAGTTCATAGAAAACAGAGAGTGAGTGTAGGTGGGCAATTTTCTCAGTGGAGGGTGGTAAGCAGTGGGGTACCGCAGGGATCAGTACTTGGTCCACTGCTTTTTAACTTGTTCATTAATGATTTGGAGATGGGAGTAAGCAGTGAAGTGGCTAAATTTGCGGATGATACAAAGTTGTTCAAGGTGGTGAAAACCAGTGAGGATTGTGAGGCACTCCAAAGGGATCTGTCAAGGATGGGCGAGTGGGCGTCAACATGGCAAATGGGGTTCAATGTGGCCAAGTGCAAGGTGATGCACATTGGAGCCAAAAATCCTAAATATAAATACACATTGATGGGGTCTGAACTGGCAGAGACTGAGCAAGAGAGAGATCTTGGAGTTGTAGTGGATAACTCACTGAAAATGTCGAGACAGTGTGTGACTGCAATAAAGAAGGCCAATGCTATGCTGGGGATTATTAGGAAGGGTATTGAAAACAGATCAGCCAATATAATAATGCCCCTATATAAATCAATGGTGAGACCTCATTTGGAATACTGTGTGCAGTTCTGGGCACCACACCTTAAAAAGGATATTATAGCTTTGGAAAAAGTGCAGAAAAGGGCAACTCGAATGATAAAAGGGTTGGAACACTTTCCCTATGAGGAAAGGTTAAAGCGCTTAGGGCTCTTTAGCTTGGAGAAAAGACGACTGAGGGGTGACATGATCGAGGTTTATAAGATTATGCATGGGAAAGAGCAGGTAAAGAAAGAGGTACTTTTCTCCCTTTCTCACAATACAAGAACTCGTGGGCACTCCATGAAACTGCAGAGCGGTCGGGTTAGAACGGATAAAAGGAAGTACTTCTTCACCCAAAGAGTGATTAACACATGGAATTCACTGCCACAGGAAGTGGTGGGTGCTACAAGCATGGACGGCTTCAAAAGGGAATTAGATAAGCATATGGAGCAGAGGTCCATCAGTGGCTATTAGCCACAAGGTATAGCTAGGGGCTCTGGGGCAAGTGATGCTCTGTCTTCTTGGTGCTTGGGGGGGGGGTCAACAGTGGGAGGGCTTCTAATGTCCTGGCCCCACTGCTGGACCTCCTGATGGCACTGGTATTTCTGGCCACTGTGTGACACAGAGTGTTGGACTGGATGGGCCTTTGGCCTGATCCAACATTGGCGTCTCTTATGTTCTTATGTTCTTATGAAAGGACCGCTTGCCATCCAGCCTTTCGTGGCCCACTCTGGTGAGACCCTCCAGCCACTGGCACCCTGGAAACGTGGCAGGTTTTTGTGGAGGGATACAGAGCTTCTTACCCTCATATCCTGGTCTCAGTGGAGATCTCTCGGTGGTCTCCCGTCCCTCCCAGTGAGGGGTCAGGATTGCATCCACCGTGCTGTAGAAATGTTTCAGCCATCAGGTGTCCATGGGCAACGCTAGGGTTATACCTGAAGTGGATCTTTCTGGTTTTCCTTCTGCTGCACTGTTGTGGTCTCCTTTCCCCTCCAAACTGCTTTAGGTTTGGACTCCCCAGATGCTTTCTGTGGGGGAAGTCCACCTGAGACGTGGCTTTGAGACGGTGTGATGCACACGTCTCACCGTTCTCCCCAAAACTGAGTTCCAAACTGCTGGCCAGGGGGGGAAAACCTGTCCAATCAGGCAGTGGTGTTGGGTGTCCAGCCGGGGGCATTCAGAAAATTCCCATGCAGCTCTCTGTTCCTGCTTGGCCTAGATTTCTCTGCTGCAGATCTGTAAGGAACGTTAGGAAACATTTGTGGTGAGAGGCAAATGCTCTGGGCACGTTGGAGCATGTTCAATTGGCTAGAAGCAGCCAGCCCAGCTCATGTCGCTTCCGAGGAGAGGAAGGCTGTTTTCGTTTTTCTCAGAGGAGGCCCTGAGGTGTCTCTGTCCTTCTTTCTGGAGGGGAGCAGCTGCAAGGTGTGGCTGGCAGGGAGGCAGGCGGCGAAGCAGAGCACAACCCAAGAGTCACACCACGCTGCACAAGTGAAGCCGGCCTCATGGGTCAGCTTGGCAGGGCACTGAGAGGCACAGAATTCATCTGCCGGAACTCCTCTCATGCCGAGGCAGGGAGATGCTACAGCCGAAATCTTTGGCCAGGATCCTGCTTGTCCCACACGCTGCTCCGTCCCGTTTCCAGTTCTGTTCTGCAGCCTCAGCGTCAGGAGTAGCTGAGGAGTGGCTCCCACAAAGCTCCCACTGAAGCCGGCCATATTTCCATTTCCAAACAGAAGGGAAGAGACAGCAGGAAGAAAAGTTGCAAGTCAGGCAGAGAGCAGAGCAAGTCAGAAGCGGCTGCAGGAGGGAGCGGCAGCCACATTTAGAACCAGCTCGGGCAGCTGGCACTGGAACGCGACCGTTCTCTCTGACAGACGAGGGGGCCTTGAGGCTGCGAAGGGGGGCCTAGCGCCCTGCCCAAACGAACGCAGAGGGCCTCCTGTCTTGAGCAAAGCAGTGGGGGAGGCGGCGGGGGAGGGGGCGATTCCAGGTGTGTGCGTGTGCAGTGTGCTAACACAAGTTTGGTGTGTGTTTGTCTCCTAATTCGAAACAGAGCACCAGAAGCCTTGATGCATGTAGTGTGGGTTTGCTGCTGCTGGAGTGGGCCACAGACCAGGTATTTACACACAGCCCCAGTTTCTGAATGATTGCTTCCGCTTCCTTGGTCTCCTTCGGCCACCATGGGACGGGCGTGTCTCTTGTGTGCTGCTTTGGTTCCTGCCTCTGAGAGAGAAGGACGTGTCTTGCATCAAACCACATTCCCCCGCCCCAGACAGGTCCGTGGTGGTGCCTGGCACCAAGTACCCATCTCTGGACGGCTGGCGTGTGGTCGAGGGGTCTCCCCTCCTGGGCACGAGAGGTGGGATTGTGAGTCTTGCCTGAGGCTTTGCAGGTACCAGGCAGACCTCGGAAGCAGCTGCTCCTCTGGAACCACTGCAGGACCTGTTTCCAGAGGGCATTTGCCGTTCTGGGCATGACTCACAAACGCAGCCTCTTGCTGTGACTGCTGTTGCTGCCTGCTTAGCTCTCAAAGTGGACTGCTCTGTGGACGGAGGCCCAGATGAGGCCTGGGTGGTCCTCCGTGGGCGTGCATGCAAGAGGGCCAGTGGCACCCCAGCAAGGTTCATTGGAGCCAGCAGGACGGCCACTGCGGAGCCGATCAGAGCCTGTCGCTCAGGATGTGGCCGAGTCTTCTGCGCTCTTTCTCCCGTTGCGGAGAGGAAGACCCCCCCCCTTGGCGAGCCCCAAGGCGACAGCACTGGTCGCAGAGCAGTTTGTAACGGGACACTGGGTCGTTGCCGTTCCTTGAGGAATGCCGTCTCTGGCCTCTCTGGTGGTCTGGCTCTTAATGTTGCTTGAGGTGCTGCGGCCAGCAGGAGCCGCCCACCCCCACCCCCAAATGCATGCATGAGTGTCCCCGGAATGAGCTTTGCCCCTCCTCGAGTAAAAGTGATGTCGGCACCCTTGGTCACATTCAGTGTCTTACGCGGCTCTTCTCTCTCTTCCTCCCTCTTTACAGAGAATCCTGACAAAGAAACTACCTCACCAGAAACATCTTCGCTACCGAGTTCTGATGGATTTAAACGTCCCGTCCGTTTTCCGGAAATGGGTGTGAAGACCAGTAAGTCCTTCGGCCGGTCACTCGACCGCTCCATCTCTGCTCCTACCCTCGGCCGCCACCGGCCCAGCCCAGCTGAGACTGTTCGCCCTCGACCTGCAAAGTCTGTAGAGTCCCTTCCCGAATGCCCAGCTGCTCGAGGGAGGGGAGAACGGCCTCTTTCCGATCGCGATGCTTTCAGCCATGTTGATGCTTCTCTAGCTGGAACAGAACTGTCGTGTAGTCCAAATAGTCCTTCACTGAACACACCTGCCAAGCCATCTCGTGCTCAGGGCAGCGGCCCAGGTCTGGCGCCTCCGCTGGAAGAAGCAGAGGGGAGCCGTTTGCCACTAGGCGCTGCTGCTCCGCTGCCTTCCTCGCGCCTGGAACTGAGCCAAACGGGCCCCCAGCCACCCGAGGAGGAGCTTGGCATGGAACAGTCGCCAGGCGAGCCACTTCAGGCATCCGGGTCCCGGGAGGATGTGTCTGCCACGGGTGCAGACGGAGGGCTGGCCCCTGACCCCTTTATGCCTGAAGGGAGCGGAGCCAAGGACAGCAAGTCGACACTTCCCTGTGAGGAGGAGGAGGAGGGGACTCAGAGCCCAGGATCTGCACCAGACGAGCTCCCCGGGAATGAAGCCCTCATGGAAGTGGAGGCCACCGGCCAGGCCTTCCTGGGAGAGCAGAATGCCCATTGGCCGGCTGGGAGCCCCGAGTGTTCTGCGATGGAGGCCGAATCGTCCAAGTCTTCGCTCCCCGTGGATCCTCTTCCTGCGAGTGACTTGAAGCCGACTGGGAGAAGAAGGCTCGCCTCCACAGACACACCTGCCGCGGTTGGTGTCTCGGGCCCTCTTCCTCCTCCTGAAGGGCAGCTGAGCCGTCAGGCAGAAGAGGCTTCGCCGTCTCTGGCCTCTGCCTTGAAGGAGCTCCATCAGCTCCTGGTTGCGAGTTATAAGAAGGCCTCTTGGAACGAGAGCGTTGATCAGCCAGGGGCCCTTCCTGATGAGGAAACTGCAGAGGAGGTCTTTGAAGGGAGACCACGTGACTGTCGCGACCGAGACGTCCAGGATGTGGAGCTCCCCTCTCCTGAAGGGGTGACTGGATGTGTCCACAACGACACCTCAGCAGGGGGACAGGAGACACTGGGATTGCCTGGCAGAGGTGCTCTGGTCATCGAAGAGCCTTTGGACTTGGATTTGAGTCGCTCAGTTGTACCTTCAGCGGCCTCCCGTGAACCTTCCAGTGCTGAATGCTCTGAAACGTTACCTCCGTGTTTCTCTTCTGACCAAACTGCAGGCAGTGAAGCTTTGGCGCAGAACCAGCCTCCCTCCAGCCTTGCCCAGGGCCGTGAATCTCGGAGCGTTTTGAATTTCCCCCCAGGAGAACCCAGAATGCCCGTCTCCTCAAGCACCGGTGAACCAGGTGCTCTGCACATCTGCTCTCCGGAAAGTGATTCTGCCGCTCCTCCGCTTCCAGTTTTCCCCTCTGGGGACATTGAGCAGATTGTGAGAGCGGGCTTTACACCCCAGGAAGCCAGCGAGGCTCTGGAGCGCGCGGGTGGGGAGGTGGATCTTGCCCTCCTTATTTTGCTAGCCAAGAAGATTGTCGTTCCTCCGTGACCCGAAGAAGATGGCCTGGCTTCTGCTGCATACTTCTGAATCGCGTAGAGTATCCTGCTTTGATGATTGAGCCAGACATTTAAAAAAACAAAATCCTTTCCTTTCAGCCAAAGCATCTTCTGTCTGTCTCTCGCCCCCCCCCCCCAATGTTCAATTCAGGCTTTTTAAAAAATCAAATCTTGTATCACACATCAACTTTTAATTACTATTATTAAGGCAATGCATTATGGAATAAAGATAAATCTTTTATTCAAACCCCTGGTTTTAAAGAAAGATACAAGATTAGAATAAGCTATAAAACATTGCTTTGGAAACGCCTTCTGAAAGGAGCGGGAGCCGTGCGGGACCACGTATTGTGCCTGTGTGAGATGCATCCATGTCAGCAGGGTTTGTGCCATAGATGCTCCTGCTGAGCATGTGAGCTGATGGTGCTTGGCAAGCGACAGAGCATGGGAGTGGTGCTTGTGTGAGAGCATGGGGTGTGCGGCCGTGCAGGGGAGGCGTGTGGGCGCCCGGCCCAGGCCTTTGCTGGGATCCCGAGAGGGGGAGCGCTCCCTCTTCCCCCACAGGGCCACCCGTTCGGCCTTGGCATGGTGGGGCCCAGCAGGCCTGGAAGCGGCATGAGGAGGAGGAGGGGGCAGGTGTGCCTTGCCTCTGCCAGGTTTAAGGGCATCCGCCAAGAACACTCCCAGTCGCAAAGGGCCAGCGCTTTGCCAGGTGATGCTGGTGTCCTGTCTTGCCGGCTGGGTCCCTCTGGCAGTGCTGCATCCCTGTGCCTCTGGGGCACTGCCTCATTAGCAGCTGAGAGGGAGGTGGGGGCAATCTACTGAGAGAAGCCATGCAGGCTGCCAGGATGGGTCATACCCTCTGTGGGCGAGGCTTCCCAGGGGTGGGCTAGTAGTGACCAGTCAGTGGATTCTGAAAACACCCCCGTGTCAACACTGTAGAAGATTCGGATTTCCTGGCATGGCGGGAGGGATGCATCCCTTTCTCCCACCCGAAGAAGAGAGTCTCTGCTCCTCACGGCAGATGTCCCGTATTGCCACGGCTGGGTGCGCAGCAGGCCTGAAAGAATGTGCTTAATCCAGTGTGCCCGTCTGTTGCCCTCACCCTTTGGGTTCAGTGGGTCCCTCTCGACGTTGTAGGACCCTGACAGTGTTTCCTCACATCCCCCCCAAAAACCCCCCCGGGGGGGGGGGGAACAGCCTGGGGCAATGTGAGAGTGGCCAAGCCGGCTGTTTGCTGCAGTGCCTGACACACTCTGCTTACACAGCGACGCTGGAGCCCAAGTGGCCAGTTGGCTTTCAAGCAGTGATCCCCCCCCCCCCATTCTTCTTCATGGAGAACTTCAGTGATTAAAGCTGACAAGGGTAGCAGACAGGAGAGGATGAGACAGACAAAACTTTATGGGTCACATGTAATTCTTTCTCGCGTTAGCATGGCATCGTTGTTTGCTTCCTGTTCCAAGCAAAATAAACGGCAGTAGGTAGGAATCCCCCTTTCCTCGGCATCCTCTTGAGTTGAGGCATGGGTTGCAGCCTGAACAGCCTGTGCCGCGTCCAGAAGTGGCCCCTTCCCCTGGGGGAGCTGCTGTCCTCCTGCCGTTGCATGGGGCAAATTCAGCACGCCCAAAGAATCTGGTTTTGCTTCGCTGATTATGGTGTCTCTCACACCACACAGTTTACCTGCGCACTGTGAAGTGCCAACGGCTTTGTGGCCACGCACACAGGACTTTTGCAGTTGTGGCTGCAGATTGATGTGTTCGCCTGTTTAGATTATGGAACCTTTTGTGTTAAGGGCTGCTTGTTTTACAGACACAGAGAGGGACTCTCTGTGTGGCTTGTGTTTTAAATGGCCCCCTTGAGGGAAACATGCTCAGATGCTTGTTTTTTAGGGCTTTGACATAGGAAGTAGGGATGTTCTAAGGGTCAGAGAACCACAGGTATCTCCCCAGTTAAGATGTTTATAGACACCCCTGTAATTTGGAGGAGCTGCGAACCAATGGAGTTGCATGGTGGAACTGGGATCTCTCTGAGTTTTCCAGAAGCTGCTTATATTTTCAGTTACGCTGATCCAGCGTGGCACGCCCCGTGTTGAGTGCGTGGGGCCGTCTGGGCAGAGGAGAGATCTGCAGCCTTCAGCTTACGGGTAACGTCATCGTGTGCCTCTTGGTCCCTGGGAATCCGGCCTTCCGAGGTGCTTCTTTTTTGCCCGCTGTGATGGAAACAAAGTGAACTGTGGTGGCGTGGGGGGGGGGGGCCCCCCCCCCCCCCGCAAGAGGTTCTCTTGCCTCTAGTGGTAATGTGTCAAAATCACTGGGCCTTTGCGTTTCCTGAACCCACCAGCTGCCACTCGCCTACGGGAAAGGACGCTCGTTTGGTTGCCTTCAGAGGAAGAGGAGCTCCGAGGGGAAGAGTGCCCCCCGGCCCCCGTCGCTGACGGTGCCGTGCTCCTGTCGGTCTGTCTTGACTAGAGAGGGTTAGGGAAGCGTTGTGGGTTTAGTTGCAGATTGTGCCCGCCCTGGCAGGTGTCAGTCCTTGGTTCTCAAGAGCCAGGCTTGCATTGCTGGCAGGTGCTCAAGGATCCTAGCTGAAGCTTGGTTCGGTGTTGTTTTTTTGACTGAGGACTCTGCCCCCTGCCCGGTTGCAAAGAAGCAAACCGTGTGCTAGAAAGACTGCGCATCTGTGAGTTCTGGGAGGGCAGGAAAGGCCACCTGAAGGCTAGCAGATGCCGTGGCCTGCCTGTTTGTCCCCCTGTACTTTTCACTCTGACCCACAGCACTTCTCCAGGGCCTTCTTTTCAAGGAACACTGAAGGGGGTGGGCCTGGGTCCCGTGCTGCTGCATGGGAAGTGCCTGCTCTGCCCCCAGGCCGGGAGCCTCCACGAGATCTCTTACCGACACCGTTTGTGGGCCACGTCCAGGGTTTCCGCCTCTTGGGGTAACCGTCTCAGAAGAAGTATGTGGCAAATTCAACAGCTGTGGCCCCAGTCTGTGGGCAGGAGAAGCACCCCCCAGGAGACGCGGCGTCTCAGGAGTCCTCGCCTTGCTTCGCTTCAGGGCCCCTTCTGGGCTGGCTGGTGTGCGGTTGCTTCGCCCCGTTGTGGGAGCATCTGGGGGGGGGTCTCTTGATCAGGTTAGGGGGTTTCGGTTCTCACCGTAATTAATCAAGACCTGGTTTCCTTGAGGATTGTTTCTCTATAGAAGGGGACAATGTAAAAATACTTTAAAAAATAAAATAAAACTCATATTGTCATAATGGTCGTGTGGGAGATTTCCTTGGCCCAGGCCAGCCAGCGAAGCAGTGCGGGGTGGGAGGGGGAGCGCTCAGATCTGGGGGGCCCCCACGGGGTGGAATTTACAGCCCAACAAAGCTGAAGCAATAAGCGCAAGTGTGTGTGTGGCTCTGTTTTCAACTTGGGTGACTGTGTAGAGCACAGGCTGGAGCTTCACAGGCAGGGATAGGTGGGCTGGGAGAGGGCCATCATCTGGAATACTGTGTGCAATTCTGGTCACCACACCTTAAAAAGGATATTATAGCTTTGGAAAAAGTGCAGAAAAGGGCAACTCGAATGATAAAAGGGTTGGAACACTTTCCCTATGAGGAAAGGTTAAGGCGCTTAGGGCTCTTTAGCTTGGAGAAACGACGGCCGAGGGGTGACATGATTGAGGTTAATAAGATTATGCATGGGAAAGAGCAGGTAGAGAAAGAGGTACTTTCCTCCCTTTCTCACAAGACAAGAACTCATGGGCACTCCATGAAATTGCTGAGCGGTCGGGTTAGAACGGATAAAAGGAAGTACTTCTTCACCCAAAGAGTGATTAACACATGGAATTCACTGCCACAGGAAGTGGCGGCGGCTACAAGCATGGACGGCTTCAAGAGGGAATTGGATAAGTATATGGAGCAGAGGTCCATCAGTGGCTATTAGCCACAAGGTATAGATAGGGACTCTGGGGCAAGTGATGCTCTGTCATCTTGGTGCTTGGGGGGGTCAACAGTGGGAGGGCTTCTAATGTCCTGACCCCACTGCTGGACCTCCTGGTGGCACCTGGTATTTCTGGCCACTGTGTGATACAGTGTTGGACTGGATGGGCCTTTGGCCTGATCCAACATTGGCATCTCTTATGTTCTTATGGGTGGAGGCTGTGGAGCGCAGCCACTGGGTGCGGGCAGGGGCCCAGGCCCTGCCGGGGGTGTGTGTCTCCGGGCGAGTGACCCGCCCCCAACCCCGCCCCCACGGAGGGGGTTCTGGCCAAGGTATCCTGCCCTGCCCAGACGCTGCACGCCCCGCCCCACTCCTCGGGGGGGCCCACACCCCTGCGGCCAGGAGGCCCCGGGGCAAAGTCCGGCCCACAGGAGGGGGTGGGGCTTCCTCCGGCATCCATCCTGGTGGCGGGAAGGTGGCCTCAGGTCACCCTCCCAGTTTGCGACGCATGGGCGCTGGGTCTCCTCCAGAAGGTCATAAGAACATAAAGAGAAACCAATGTTAGATCAGGCCAATGGCCCATCCAGTGCAACATTGTGTCACACAGTGGCCAAAAAATACCAGGGGCCATCAGGAGGCCCAGCAGTGGGGCCAGGACACTAGAAGCCCTCCCACTGTTGCCCCCCCCAAGCACCAAGAATACAGAGCATCACTCGCCCCACATATAAGAGAAGCCAATGCTGGATCAGGCCAATGGCCCATCCAGTCCAACACTCTGGGTGCGTTCAGACGGGGGCTTTATACCGGTTAGGTGCCGGTTCCAACCGTTGTACTCACCGGTGTTCAGACGGGGCACATCTGCCTCCTCGCCCTAACCTTGCACTCTGCCATCAGGTCCCAAGTGGTGGTATACAGAGAGTGCAACGGTGGCTTCTGGTTTATCCCGGCGTCTGATCGCTCTCCAACGTTGCAGAGACACTTCCATCGGAATCCTGAGGCTTCCGGCTTTCCCCCGCAATTTTTTTTTTTTAAAGGAAGCGATATGCGCTCGGGCATACCTTTAAAATTTAAATGTAATGGGGGAGGGTTGAGCATGCGCAAAGATCGCCATTCTCTGAATGGCTGCCTATGCGCATGCTCAAACTGTGCTTAAAAAAAAAAAAAAACGCCGACGCCCGCAGCGTGTGAGTGGGCGTCCAACGGAGGGATCTGGAAGATAGAGGTAAGTGTGATCGCATCTATGCTGGCAGAAACGCCACGTCTGAACGCACCCTCTGTGTCACACAGTGGCCAGAAATACCAGGGGCCATCAGGAGGTCCACCAATGGGGCCAGGACACTAGAAGCCCTCCCACTGTTGACCCCCCCCCCAAGCACCAAGCTAAAGAGCCCTAAGCGCCTTAACCTTTCCTCATAGAGAAAGTGTTCCAACCCTTTTATCATTCGAGTTGCCCTTTTTTTCTGCACTTTTTCCAAAGCTATAATACCCTTATTGAGGTGTGGTGACCAGAATTGCACACAATACTCCAAATGAGGTCACACCCTTGATTTATACAGGGGCATTATGATAGTGGCTGATCTGTTTTCAATTCCCTTCCGAATAATCCCCAGCATAGCGTTGGCACACTAGTCTCAACATTTTCTTGGTCAGTCTCTGCCAGTTCGGACCCCATCAAAGTGCATTTATCGTTAGGATTTTTGGCTCCGATGTGCATCACTTTGCACTTGGCCACATGGAACCCCGTTTGCCACGTGGACGGACGCCCCCTCCCAGCTCCGTGCCGTCGTCGTCTCCTCCCCACACCCACACCCACCCCCACCCCCAGGGCCTGCTGCAGGCGGAGCGGTGTTGGCCGCCCCGCCCGCGAGGCCGCCCAGGGGCCCGCCTCCCTCCCTCCCTCCCTCCCTGCCGCCCCGGACTACAACTCCCGGCATGCGCGGCGCTGAGGCGTGGAGCCGGCTCCCGTGAGGCGGCCAGGGGGGAGAGGCCGCGTCACGAGGCCCGCGCGGGAGGGCGGAGGCGGCACCGGCGGCGGAAGAGGCAGCCGCAGCAGCCGCAGCAGAGGCGAC